CCCTGTTACTGGAGAGGAGCTGCTCTCTGTGTTGGGCTCTTCTGTAGTGTTCAGTGCCTGAGTGTCCGTGGCCATGGCACATGAATTTCTGCGTGCACAAGGATGAGCCTGGCTAGGTTGGGTTGTCTCTCCCTGATAACTGGCTTCTCCTGTCCTTTGCCTGTTTCTTGGATAACCCTATGGACTACATTGGACCACGGTTCAGGAGAGCATCCCTGGCAGCTTGTGCTAATGGACAACTGATATTTATGGCGCCACGAGGCTACAGGATCTGCAAGGACCCCGTCCTTCTTCTCCTCCCCACGCCAGCATCAGCACCTTTCATTCTCCATCATTCAGACTCTTTTTCTCATGCACAGAGCCCTGCTGCTTTTCTCTTTGCTGCATCGGGCTGCAGATGGTAGGGAGCAGCTCCCTGAAGGGACAACCACCCACACTGACCCCAAGGACCAGAGTGCAGCGCTGAGCTCATATCTGCAGCCTGGAATCTGCCCTCTCACTGCCTCCATGGGCAGGCACCCATGAGCTAATCCTTTCCACAGCCAGCATGGAGGGCAGCAGGGACCAGGCAGCCTCAGGTTTTGGCTGGAAGGTCATTGCCACCAGCAGCAGCATTGCCTGCACATGAGCCTGTTCACAGCCCGGGCTTTCGCTGGTGGGAGGTGGTGTGGGATGGCCACTGTGGTCCCCACCAGCCCCATCATACAATCATAGATTCTTTTGGATTGGAAGGAAGCTTCAAGATCATTTATCTCATCCTACCACCCTGCCATGGGCAGGACACCTTTCATTAGCCCAGGCTGATCCAAGTCCCATCCAGCCTGGCCTTGGACACTTCCAGGGATGGGGCAGCCACAGCTTCTCTGGGCAACCTGTGCCAGGGCCTGACCAATCTCAGCATAAAAAATTTCTTCCTTATGTCTAGTCTGGTGTCCTCTGGGCAGGATGGTCATTCCCTGCCTGGCCAGGTACCTGCTGGGCTCCTTCTGCCAGCCTGGTCTCTGGACTTTGCCAGTGGGACAGACCAGATGTGTCTTACAGGGACTGGTTCTCTGCTGGAGACTTAGAGAAGCTACACCCTTCAACAAAATGCACTTAAAATCGTGGAATTACAACGATTATTAACACTGTTTACTTGGCCAAGTTCTGCAGTGTTGGAACCATTACAACCCAGAATATTCAGAAACCATAACATTATGAACTACCCAATGGATTTGGTTGTGTTTGATGCAGGAGGAGGGAGAAAATGAAGGTGCCTTATGCACATCCATCCTCATGTGCTTTAAAAAAAGAGAAAACCACCTCTATTGCATTGCTTTATGAGACAGAATCACAGAATCACAAAGGTTGGAAAAGATCTTTAAGATCATTGAGTCCAACCATTCCCCCAGCACTGCCAAGGCCACCACTGACCCATGTTCCCAAGTGTCTCATCTACACAGCATTTAAATCCCTCCAGGAATGGGGACTCCACCACTACCCTGGGCAGCTGTGCCAGGGCCTGACCACCCTTTCTGTGAAGAAATTTTCCCAATATGCAACCTAAACCTCCCCTGGCACAACTTGAGGCCATTTCCTCTTGTCCTGTCACTTGTTCCTTGGGAGCCTGATCTCCTCTGCTCCCCCCTCCTGTTGGGGAGTTGGAGAGAGGGAGAAGGTCCCCCCGAGCCTCCTTTTCTCCAGGCTGAGCTCCCCCAGCTCCCTCAGCTGCTCCTGCTGCTCCAGCCCCTTCCCCAGCTCCATTCCCTTCTCTGGACACGCTCCAGTCCCTCAATGTCTCTCTTGTCTGAGAGGCCCAAATCTGATGGATCTGTCCAGCCCTAACACATCCCTCCACAGAACCTCAGCCTCTTCCATGGAGACAGTGTTGGACTTTTGCTGGTATGTGGTTTTATGGCAGTGTAGACCTGATGTCCACACCACCTCCCTGATGGTCAAAAACACACCCCATGGCCAGAGAACTGAACTGCTGGGGCAGGCAAAGCACCTGTCCCCTCTCTGCAGAAGGTAGGACAATAATTAGCAACAGAAACTGATTGAGGCTGAGATAAATTTAGTTTGGCTGCACTGAGACTCTAAAGGCAGAGCAGGTGGGATCTCCTCCCACACCTCTCTGCAGGATGGGGCTTTGCCATGGGTGAGCTGGTGTTGGCTGGTTGGCCCCCGAGGGCAGGACATCTGTGGGTGTTGTTTTCAGCTATCAGTTGCTCCAGGGCAAAGTTTAGCTCTAGATAAATCAAGACTATTTCACTGAGTCCAGATGACTCATAACCACAGGACAGGAAACTCTTTTATCTCTGGGGCAGCTGGTCTAATATAGATAGATGTTCACTCCTGAGTGCTGAATAATTTCCATCTCTTTACTTCTCATTAAAAGCAAATCAGAGGAGGGAAAACAGGGAGAAATTTCTGTCACCTCAGTTTCTACCCTCTCTGAGAGAGCTTCCACCCAGTTGTGAAGTCTGCCTGTACTGGGTCGTTTACCATGTATTTTAATTGGCAGAAAAAAAGGCTTTTGCTCTAAAGCACCATTTCATTTTAAACCCCTGATTCTGCAGGCATGGATGGAACAGGGATCTGTTACAACACGGTCTCCTTCAACTTCTGTAGAGGGAAGAGCATTGTTGCCTCCTCAGATGAAGGGGAGACGCAGTGGAATTAGACATCTTGTTGAGTAGCCTCAACATCTTCACCCTTGAGCAGCAGCTGGAGGTTGAGAGAAGAGGACCTGGGCAGCAGGAAACTCTTAAACACAATAGAAAGGGCAAGGTTTTGCTGGAGAACCTCTCAAATCAGTTATTTCTCTTTCCTAAATATATCAGGCAGCACTTTGTGTCTCAGGCTGCCTCTTCTTGCCAGAACACTCTGCTGGCTCAGGTACAGGTGGTTTTTCCCGTAATCTCTGTCCACCAGTGACAGCAGGGCTGTGTGATGCTTTCCTGCTCCTGTGATCTCTGGGATCTTGTCCTTGCCATCTGTAGAAGGTTTTATGTGCCATGTGTGAGCCCTTGGCATGAGGAGACTTCAGGAGTGGCCGTGCCAGGAGCTGCTCCATGTCCATGATGAAGCACGATGTGCTCAGCCTGCAAGCCGAGGACTCTGTGTAAGGAGCTGGGAAGGCCCAGGAGAGCCCAGGGCCGGTTCTCCAGCCCTTCCCTGCATTGTGCATGTCTATCGCCCTGTGGTGAGACCCTCCTGGTGGGTGCTGATCCCTTCCTCCCCCCCAGAACCAGCAGGACCCTGCTGCACAGAACTCACCCAGCTCTGCATGGCTGCTTTTGTAGATGGCCGATTGGTTGGTGTGGTTGGTGTTCACTGTCTGATCCATAAAAGCCTCTGTTCAAATAACATCCAGTGCTGGAACAACCCAGGGCAGCAACTTGACACCGTGGCTTGGGCCACACTGGAGACCTCTAAATCCATAGGCTAAAGCTGGTGAGATGAATGATTGCCAGGAGCCAACCTCCCCAGCATTTTCCACTCTTAAATATCACAGCAATAAAAGGTTATAATCATTGAAGTCTTTCTGCAGCCCACGGTGCCTCATCTGAAATCAGGACGACGGAGAGCGCGGAGCGAGGTGGTTATTAATATCCTGTCTCCTGATGATGGCTTTATAAACATCATCACCACAGGCACAGCCTTTTTGGTATGACCTTCAGCCAAATGTCATGCTTTTATCACACTTGATATTTAACCAATAAAGCAATTCGGGGAAGACCTTGCCCCCAAATATGTGTTCTTATACACAGGGGTATGGGGTCAAAACTGAGAGAAGCTGTATTGAGTCATGCTAAATGCTCTTTAGACCTGATGCTCCTTGTCTAGGAAGTGTGCCAGGGCTCCAACAAGAAGGGGATCAGATGTTTGATGCCAGTGGAAACCCTCCATGCTGTAAAGGATGACTTATGGGTGAAAGCCCCACCCAGCAATGAGGCCACGCTCACACCAAAGCTAGAGACTTTCCCTGGTGGGGTGAGGTCTTGATGGAGACAGGAGGGTCCTGGCTGCAGGGAGAGGGGCAGCTCCCACTCTGGGAAGCCCCAGAAAAGACATTGGCTTTCCTAGTGACTTGTAGATATTTATGATGACTATTGAAAGCAGCAATCAAAATCATGTCCCTACCCACAGCAGAGGGTTGAAACTAAAAGATCTTCAAGGTCCCTTCCAGCCCAAACTAGTCTGTGATTCTCTAATCATAGTGAAGAAGAGGTTTTGTAGCACAGTGTGGATGGAGAAGGTGAGGAGCAGCTGTGGAGCCTGTGTCTCTTGATGAGAAGGACACTGGGGTCACTGGTCTCCATCAGGACCTGGCATTGTCTTGATGACATTGGAAATGGCCTTTTGTCCGTTCCCTGCTCCCGCTTCAATTTCAGAGGGTACCCTTTGCTGGAATAACAACCCCGAGGAAAGTCATGTACCAGAAAGGGTTGAGGGATGGTGATAAGTGCAGGATGTGGGTTCCTGCTACGATGGACATGGAGAGGGTGCACAAGGCCATCCCAAGCCAATGGTGTGGTGGACAGTGGTCGCCCAGCACAGAGCTGAGGACTGTCACTCCATGCAGCCTCCACTGCCACAGGGGTCTGGGCAGCCCTGGATGGGGCAACCTGTCTCTGTAGGAGATGAATGCTAGGGACTGGGAGTAAGGATAGAGTGCCCTGCTGTAGTGGATCCAGACCAGTGGCAGGGCTGAGCAGCCTGAGGTTGCTTTGGGCATCTCAGTTTGGGTCTGGAAGGAAAGGTCTCACCTGCAGGGTTCCTATGAGCCCCTTGAGACGCCTGCAAGGCCAGTAGCAGTGGAGAGGAGGAGAAACAGCCCTGCCTCAGGTGATAACAGATGGAGGAGGGCATTGCTGGCACTGGCTCCAGCTTGCAGGCACTCACATTGGTGCTACCCAGCACTGCTCTGGCTCTCCTGATTTGTGTCCCGGTCCTGACGCTGCAGATGTGCACACCCTCCATGCCTCATCTCCCCACACCTCCTTGCTTTTTCCCAGGTCATCCTCCCCTAAAATGACGCAGCAGATGCGGGACCTGCAGCTGGCACAGGCCAGGAAGCCGCCAGGCCCTTCCTCGCCCAACGCGGCCAAGAGGCTCTACCGGAACCTGTCGGGGAAATTCCGCGTCAACTACATGTCCTTCGACGAGGGCAGCCTGGTGGGACGGGGCGAGAAGGAGAAACTCCGCAAGTCCTACCTGGTCAGTGCCTGCTGGGCTCCATCCAGAGGGGGACAGGGGCTCCATGGGGGCAGAGGGTCTGTGTGTGGGTGATGCTGTCACCTAGGTAGAAGCCCAAGAGTGTGTTAAGTGAAGCCACCCTGAAGCAAGTTCAGCTGGAGCTGGTTTGCTTGGCACCATCCAGATGTGTTTGCAAAGAGATGATACTCCCAAGCCTCTGAGACAAGGGCACCCTCTCCTTGATTGGGTTCATGAGGTGCTGGTGAGAGGTGGGGTGGAAGAAGGTGCCCCATTTTCAGCCCACCTGTGTTTCTCCTTCCACCCAGTTCCAGAGCAATGCTGCCCTCTTCGAGGCTGTGGAGCTGCAGGACCTCGACAGGGTCCAGGAGCTGCTGAAGCAGTATAGCCCCGAGGAGCTGGACCTCAACACCCCCAACAGCGAGGGGCTCCTGCCCCTGGACATCGCTATCATGACCAACAACACTCCCATCGCCAGGGCCCTGCTGCAGGCGGGAGCAAAGGAGAGTCCACACTGTGAGTTGGGACAGGGAGCTGTGCTGTGCCCATCACCTGAGTCTCCAGCCTGGTGGAACAGGGCACCTCAGGCAGTGGGGTACGGGTGGGGAGGTGGTCGTTGGGCTCTGGTGCAGGCTGTAGCAGGGCCATGCACTCAAGTGGATCCCAGGACTGGGACACCAAGGGGAGGATGGCATCTGGGAGTGGGGATTCGTTACCAGCAGAGCCGGGGCTTGTCCTAAGCACCTTCTCCTCCTTTCTCCTGTCTCTCCTCCTGGGACCCACGGCCGTGCCCCCATCCCCACAGTCGTGAGCCTAGAGAGCCGCTCCCTGCACCTCTCCACGCTGGTGCGGGAGGCGGAGCAGCGTGTCAACGAGCTGACGGCGCAGGTGGTGAACGAGGCGCCCAACACCGACTGCTCCGAGAAGGAGAAGCAACTCAAGGCCTGGGAGTGGCGGTTCCGGCTTTACAAGCGCATGAAGGCAGGGTTTGAGCATGCCCGTGAGTGCCCACAGGAGGGCTGGGGGGCCCGGGGGGCAGCCCCTGCACTGGGGCAAGGAGCAGAGCTGTGCGTGGTCCAGGCACGGGGCTGTGCCAGCACCCATCAATGTCCCCACTCCCTGTAACCAGGGCTCACAGTATGGGTGCGTGGCGGAGACAATGTGTTCCACTCAGGGAGTATGTCCCTGGGACTGGGGGGAGGCCCAAGAGGGACACTGAGGGGGGCAGAGTGACCGTCCTCGCTGTAGTGGTCCCTGTGCTCTTTGTCCCCAGGAGTGCCAGACGCCCCCACCAACGTCCACCTCTCGGTGGCCAGCAGCTCCTCGGTGCAGGTGACCTTCTGGGAGCCCCTGAGCGTCAACTCGGCCGTTGTCACCAAGTACAAAGGTAAGGACCAGGATCCTTGCAGCAGTGCAGGGGGGCCACAGCCACAGCACTGGCTGGCACCCCTCATGCCCCACGTCAGCATGGCAGAGCCCTTGGCCACTTTTGTGCTTGAGCACAGGAGGAGCCAGGGCTGCAGGACAGCCTGGCCACCAGCCAAATGCTCTGAGCTAAACCTAATACCACCCTGCAGCAAGGCAAAACTCAGGGTGCCATTTGTTTGCTGCCCCCCCTCATCCTGCACACTGGAAGGGCTTTGCTGTGCTACCTCTCCTGAGCCCCTCACCCACTTGAATCAGATGCTTTTAACTTCTGGGAGGATTTCTTCCATTCCCCACTTCTGGCCCATAAATTAAAGGTGCTGACCCCATCTAATGTGGTTTTGTGAGTAGAACCACAGGTCCCCGTGACACTCCCCCCACTGGGAATCCCCCTTTTCCCTGCCTTCATTCCGCTGCCCCCAGCTTCTGTGCTGCCCGTGGGTCCCTCTTCAGCTGCCACCAGTGACGTGCCCTGGTGGCCTGTCCCTGCTCTGGGGCCATGTGACACCTTGGGGTCTCTCTCTTGCAGTGGAGTGGAGCTGCTCCTCCACCTTCTCACCACCGCTGGGGGAGGCTGTGGTTGACAAGCTGAAGAACCTGAACTTCACCATCCAGGGGCTGGTGTCGGTGAGCCCTGGGGAGCCCCCACAGGGATCAGGGCTGCGGGGGGAGAGCCCACAGCTGGGAAAAACCACTGGCCACGGGGTAGCCCACAGGGTCATTCCCTGAAGCTATAGTGGGGAGGCATTGGAACAGGCTGCCCAGGGAATTATCCCTGGAAGTGTTCAAAAGCCATGTGGATGTGGCACCTGGGGACATGGTTTAATGGTGGCCTTGGCAGTGCTGGGAGAATGGTTGGACTCGGTGATCTTAAAGGCCTTTTTGCAACCTTTAGAGTTCTTTTTTCTATGATCATCCTGAGCAGAAACAATAAGATTGTGGCACGGTGCGTTCCACGGGCACAGCCTGGGCAGAGCTGAGAGTGCGGGGCTGGGAGAGGCAACTGTCTGTCCCTGCACGGCTGCAGCCACTGGGAGCGGGGAACCCCCCTACACAGGGTGCCTGGGCAGTGACAGGCAGAATGGGCCCATTCAGCTTGTGCCTGATTTATCCTCCGTCCCCCACCCGGCTCCCGTCTCCACCCGGGCTCTTCCTGTGCAATAAATCAGTGGCTCGTTCCTCTGCCACCTGCACAGTCCAACCCCTCACACCAGCCCTGTCGCTCACTGAGGGGGGGACTGGCCCCGTCTCCAAGTCCGGGAGCTCTGCAAGGTCATGGGCTGGTGGGACTGTGGCTTCCCGCTGTTTTATCTCCCTGAGAACCGCAAGAGCCACGCTGCCTGTCAGCTGTCCTCTCCCCGGGGCTGCCGTCCCGTCTCCAGCACGCACTGGGCCAGCAGCGGGGAGAAGGGGCAGGCTTGGGAACTGTGGTGGGATAGAACTCAGGATGGGAACATGGGGAGATGCTGGGATAGGTGGGGTCACCCTCACCAGGGGTGGGCAGGTAGAGACCACTGGCTCGAGGAGCGAGGAATGCCCTTGGTGAGTCAGAGGGGCTTAGCCAAGGCGGCAGTGCTGGAGCTCAGGAGCTGTTGGGGTGGGAGAGCTGCCCTGGTGTGTGGCAGGAGGGGGCTCGAGCAGAGCCTGGAGCCGTGTTGCTGCAAGGAGCTGGTCTGAGCCCATCAATCACACTCTCAGAGCTGCTTCCCAGGCTCCTGTCTGCTTCCATGAGTGCCTGGAGGCCTGGCAACATCTGGCAGCTTGGCTGGGCTGTAATCAGAGGCTTTAATCACTGTCACAGTGCCACAAGCCCTTGACAGTGCTTGGCCAGCTCCCTGTTTCCAGGGGCCAGATCCCTGCACATCCCAGGGGCACGGCAGCACCCCAACCTACAGAAGCCCCATGTCTGTGGGGCTGGAGCACCTCTGGCAAGGAGCATTTGCAATGCCCAGTCCTTCCTTTGCCCCTTCTAAACCCTCCCACTTGGGCCATGGGGATTCTCTAGTGTCTGATAACAAGGGCTATGTACAGGAGGAGCAGGTAAGAGTCTGTGACCTGGGCTGTGGGCTTCCAGTTCAGTGCTCCTCATGGAATACTGGGGTACTGGGCGGGGGGAACCCTCCTGCCCTGGCACACGGAGCTGGGAGGGGTGCCTGTGTGCTGAGTGGGGCCTCCCTCCTTGCAGGGCACAGCGTACTATGTCCGGGTGTCTGCCTACAACATGAAGGGCTGGGGTCCCCCCCAAGCCTCCGTGCCCCCGTGTGCCATCCCTTCAAGTAAGTACCACTGGGAACACCCATGGGAGCAGCACCGGCTGCAGGGTGGGTGGGGCAGGTGGCAGCTCCCTGTGCCACCCGGGGGTCTCTCTTGCTGCCAGGATGGGAGCTGGTGGACCCAGGAGCAGAGGCAGAATTTTGGGGTCTCAGGCCAGGCAGGGAGGCTGTGCCTGGGAGTCTGGGATGCTGCCTCCAGCCATCAGGTCCTTTGCCAAATAGTAATTTTTCAGCCTTAAGTTCTCCTTGCCACCTGGGAAAGGCTGAGCCAAGGAGGTGGCCAAGAGCCAGGACTCAGAGTGTCCCAGTCCTGCATGGCAGTGGCCTGGAGCCCCCCCTGTGCCACCACGTGCTCTCCTCAATCCAGCCCAGCCCCAAGGACCTGCATTCCCTGGCACTTAGCTGGGATGGAGGTCACAAACCCCAGAGAGACCGGCTCTGGGCTGTCAGCACTCTCCTCCCCATGCTGGCACCAGGAAAAGCGGTGAGGAACAGCCACCCAATGTCACACAAGGCACCCTGGAATGCTGGGCAGAGACAGGCCAGGAGGACTGAGCTGGAAGGAGCAGCCCAAGTGGTGAAGTTCAGGGCTGAGGGGGCTCCAGGATGCCTCTGCCCCTTGCCTCAGGTCCCAAAACAGGTCCCTGCTGTGTGGTGGTCCATCAGGACTAGTGCTGTGAATGAGTAAGGAGCAGCCTCAGGGGAGGCTGGGCCTGTCCTGAGGAGCAGGTGGCAGGGACATGTTCCCTACCACCATGGTGCCCAGGGAGCAGGGGTGGGCACCATGAGCAGGTGGAGGTGAACAGCGATGATCAGAGATGTGCAGCACCATGAGCAGCTCTGGCTGCAGATCCACATAGCTCTGGTATGGAAACTGCCAAAAATCCATTTGCATGTCTATGAATGCACATAGCAAGGGCACAGCACAGCCCACTGACAGGGCTTTACCCTGTCCCTGTCATGTTTGCACCCCCTTTAAAGCCCATTTGCTACCCCACGTGGGTCACATTCCCCATGACCGAGATCCCAGAAGCATCAATCGAGTGTGGCTGAAGTGAATCAGACAGGAGTGGGGTTTATTTATTTTTATCTCCACTAATATTTCTCCCTTCAGTAGAGATCCCTCCTTGGCTCAGCAGAATATAGTCAGGCACCTCCCTGGGTGTTTTTAAAGCTACTAAAAATAGTGGCAAGTCCCAGCCAAAGTTAACAGAGCTGAACTTTCCATGGAAAACAGCAGCGGGCAGGACACAGGGGGTGTTTAAAGCAATTAATGTAAAGTTGAGGGAGAAGAGCCAGCAGGTCCCTGACCCCACTCCTGGTCCTGCTGCTGTCCCACAGCGGTGGAGGTGGAGGGAGCTTATTTATGTATTTGCTGAGGTGAGCCCAGCTCCCAGCACTCGCCCGGAGAAAATGGGGAAGACCTGGAGGAAGACACTGGAAAGAATTTTGTTTTTTAAGGCCAGTAAAGCATAGCAGCAACAGACAGGACCTTGTTCCTTCCCTATATGTCCCTCCCACGCTGCAGGTTGGCCAGTGGTCACGGGGAGCTGGGCAGAGCTGGGAGTTCCTGGGAAGAGTGGCACAGAACTGGAGATCTCCTGAATCCCAGCACCCCCAGAGGTGCCCAGCATCCACAACTGCTGTGCCTGGGGGACACAGATGATGTGGGAGGAGGGGATAGGAACCCCGCTTTCCCCCAGGCCAAGGAGTGCCAGGGGTGACGTCAGTCTGTCCCCCCACAGACTGGCGAGAGTACGACGGCCGGGCCCCGCGGCGGAGGGGACAGGCTGAAGCTCTGGACCATCTTCTGGGCCAGGTGAAGACCGTCCACCAGCACTGCATTTGCCACGGTGAGCTCAGGCATGGTGCTGCAGGGAGGCTGAGGCGGGGGGTCCAGCTGAGTCCCCCAGGGTTGTGGTGTGAGCCACGGAGCTGGGGTGGTACCAGGAATAGCTCTGTGCCATGGATGAGCATAGCAGGGAGACAGCTCAGGCAGTAGAGACCATGGCAGAGCCCTCCCAGTGGGTTGATGTGCCATGCCAGAGGCTGCCACTGTAGCTCCTCATCTCCTGCTGCAGCATCCTCTGCTCTCTGCTCCACAGAGCCCTGCAAGAACCAGCCCCAGAGCAGAAAGCACTCGGTCTCCAAGAGCCTCAAGCACCTCTTCCACCCTGGCAGCAAGTTTCTCAAGACGCTGAAGCGGTGAGAGGCTGGTGCATGGGGTTGTGGAGAGCCCTTCTCCCAGTGGGGTTGTAGATCTGCCCATCCTGGGTGTCACCAGGAGCTGTGCCTGCAGGGTGGGGGCTGAGGGTGCTCAGACGTGTGTCTTCAGCTGGAGAGAGCTGGTGGTGTCAGTGCAGATGAGTCCCATGACCCAGAGATGAAACGTTCTCCTTGGTATCTCCATCTGGACTGGCCAAGCTGTGCTGGTACCCAGATCCCTGCACCATCCCAGTGTCACCCAGCACCACCTCCTCTAGACCCCAGCACCCTCCCACTGCCCTCCCCTGTGCTTGGCCTTCAGGCACTCCAGTGTGTCCCCTGCACGGACTGCGCTGGCCCCATCACCCCCCCCTGTGCCAGGAGCGCATCAGCCATGGCATCTGCTGTTCCTGCTCCCATACTGGCCCTGGGCCTCTGCTGCCATGGGCTGTTGGAGGGAAGCGGAGACCTGGGGCTGGGCATCTCCTCTTCCCTCAGGAGAGAGGCCCTTTGGGAGATGAAGCTGGAAGCTGGGGGTGACACTGAAGTGTGTCTTCCCTCCCATGCAGGGGCCTCTACCTGACAGCCATCTTCTACAAGGATGACAACATCCTGGTGACCCACGAAGACCAGATCCCTGTGGTGGAGATTGATGACACCTACTCCTGCCTGCTCATGCAAGATTTTCTCTGGTTCACCAAGGTGGGTGGCCCAGGGACCCTGTGCTGGGAGAGCTGGGAGTGTCAGGGTGACCCAAATGGGCATCAGGCAACCACTGATGCCTTTGGCTGGCAGCAGCTTCCCCCCCCGCCCAAGCTCTGGGGCTTGGCAGTGCAGGCAGCCCATGGGCCTGATGCTTGGGGTTCAGCACAGACCAGGAAACCACCAAGGAATGGCATTTCATCCCAGTCCCTGGAAGCCTAAAGGTGTGCGACAGACCAGTGCCCCACCAGGCAGGCTGTGTGCCAGGATGGGTGGGCACTGTGTCTCCACAGGGATGGCAGTGGCTTCTCAGCTGCTGAACTGCTTCACCTCAGCATCCTGCCACAGCAACTCTGCCTCTGTTGTAGGAGGTGCAGGGTGCTGCTGCTGGGTCCTCCACTGTCAGCAGACTTAGGGAAAGGGTATGTGGGCAGCTCAGGGTCAAAATAGTTTGCTGGATGGTCCTTATCTACTGATGGAGAAGGCTTTCTTCTCCCTTACTCCCTTGGCTAGTTCTATTCAAACTGAAGGTCCTAGAGGAAGATGGATATCTGAGTGGACATGGCCTGGTACAGGCCCTGGAGGCGTATCAGGACGTCTGTGGCACGGGGATTTGCACCCCTGCTGAGAGGTGCTGTGTGCCCATGCACATTCCTAACCCAGCTCAACCAGAAAGGCACATCGATTTCCCCCAAACACCTCGTTGTGACCCGTCTGTGACAGTGACAGCCCTTGGTGTGCTGTGTGCTGCAGGTGTCGTGCATGTGGGATGAGATCCTGTGGCTGCGGCAGTGTGTCACCGTGTCCCAGTCATCCTGCTCCTGCATCCTGCAGACACGCTTCAAGATGCTGCTGGCCATCTCACAGATGCAGGTGAGGGTAAGCCTGGCTGGGGAACAAACCCTTCTGGTGGGACACCGGGGCCAGGCTTCCTTGGGAGCAGCACAGCCAGGAGAAGCCTGGGGTCTGCCGGTCCTGCCCACATATTGGTCCATGGACTGTATGTCCCTGACTTGTCCTCCCTGGCAGCACCCTGGCTGTGGGACAGTGAGGTGCCAGGCATCATGGCAGTCTCATGCAGAGGGGCTGGGGGCCATCAGGGTGCTTTGCTGGGCAGACTGGTTTCCAGCAGCTGCAGTCACATCCCAGCTGCGCAGACCCACAAGCACTGTGCCTCCAGGATGTCCCCTGACACTCTGCTTTCTCCTGCCCTCCCACCCCATTGTGCAGGGGCTGCTGGGCATTCAGGACCTGGGCCAGATCTTCTTTGAGCCCGTCAAAGACAAGCAGGGCAACATCCTCATCGTCACCCTGAAGGAGGTGAAGACCAACCAGACGTTCGAGAGTGTCCGCTGGGTTCCTATCTGCAAGCTGCAGACCAGCCGCAAGTCCGTGTCCTCCCCGGAGGAGCCCACAGCTCTGGACACACTGCTGATCTCCATCCAGGTGTGTGTCGGGGCCCTTGGGACAGGGCATTGCAGTGGGCTCCACTGGGGACCACCAGTGCTCCCTGCTCCCCCTCGGGCTGGAAAGGTCATGGCAGAGCCCAGGCCACCAAGGGTCTGGTCCTGGCTGCAGGCAAACAGGGAGCACAGCCCAGCCAGCCTCCAAAAATCCTGTTGTTTCAAGGGGAGGCATCAGGTTGGTGCCAAATTCACCCTGGCAGCACTGGGTTTCTTGCTCTGCCTCTCCTCTTCTCCATCTGGGCTGGCTGTGCCATGGCATCAGCACAAAGGCAGGTGAGAGCTGTGCTGTGAGGGCTCGCTCAGTCCAGCAGTACCTCTCTCCTCAGGACAAGCTGGCTTACCACCAGAGGAGCAGCCATGCCCTCTCCCCGGGCCTCTACCTGGGCTACTTGAAGCTCTGCAGTGCCGTGGATCAGATCCGAGTGCTGGTACCGGAGCAGCTCCCCAACATCCTGTGCCACGTCAAGATTCGCTCCAACCCCAACATCTCCAGGTGGGGCTTGCAGGGCAGCTCAGCCAGGGCAGCTCAGCCAGGGCAGCTCAGCCAGGGCAGCCAGGCTGCTCCGTCCCATCCAGCCTGACAGCACCATCACCTCCTGCTTCTGCTCCCGAGCTCCTGGCAGCAGCATAATATTCCCTCTAATCCCCGCTGCCTGCTGTGCAGTACTCTCAGGCACAAGGTGGGATTGCTGGGATTATGCTGTGCAGGACTTAATGATCCTTGTGGGTCCCTTGCAACTCAGGATACTCTTTGGTTCTATGATTCAGCCTGGAGCTGGTGCAAACCAAGTTCACTCTCTACCTCCACAGCTCGCACTTTCCTTGGGATGCTGCACTTTTTGGAGAGGAACAGCTGAACAAACACAGCTCTCATAGAGCTTGTGTGTCCAGGTCCAGCCCGAGCTACTCTCTCCTTCATCTGCCTGTCTCTGTCCTTCTCCAGGGAGGAGTGGGAATGGCTGCAGAAAATGGCCAGCGTGGAGGAGTCAATTCCTGCAGAGCCAGAGGCTGACACCTCCCAGAACCCCTTGTTTCATGAGCTCCAAGTGGCCATCAAGGAGCTGATGACCCTGGTCAACATCCCGTTGCAAGAGGTAGAGGCAGGTGCCGAGGTGTGGGGAGGAGGGAGGGGAAGGGGCTGTGAGCACGTGCTGGTCACTGCAGCAGGCGGGGAACCTCTGCCCCGGGCCCACCTCATGGGAATGAAGCACCTATGACATTTTAGTCCTGTGCAAATAGAAGGTGAGTGATGGGCAAGTCTGAAGCATCTGCCATCCCAGGGACAGTGTCTCCAGGAGCTGTTTGCCCTCACCTGTACCTCCAAAGCAAGGACAGTGAATCTGGGCTTGCATTACTGCCTGCACGTGGTTTAGTCTTGGGCAGCATGAGACCAACCCAACTCTGCTCCTCCGAAGCAGGCTGGCCCCTGGTCAGTGGTGGGCTGGAGCTGCAGCCCCTGGGGTCAGACTGTGTGGGGAGAAACCCTCTTCCACCATGCCAAGTATTTGCCGGGAAGGTGCCCAGCAGCCCCAGTGCCAAGGCACATGCATCTGGCTGGGCAGCTGTGAGGGCACCTCCCTGCACTGAGATCATCGTGTGGCACTTCTTCCCCGAGACCCTGTCATGGAAACTTTAACCAGTAGTTTGGAGACTTTTAGGAGAATGGAGAGGAAGTGAGAAGTGCAGATTACACTGGAAGCAAGGAGCCTCTGGTTGTGTGCTGAAGCAGCAATGTCCCCTGGCTGCAGGTGGTCCCTCTATGCATGAGGACTTGGCAGAGGGCCCACCAGGTGATGTTTGCCATTGTTACCTTCACTGTGTTCTTGCAGGCCAAAGATTTCCGTCTGTACAGCCAAGAAGTGCTGGACTTTGGGGATCAGGTCTCCTTCCTGCTGCTGCTGCCTCCATCAGACGATGTCTGCACTGCTCCAGGCCAGAACAACCCCTACACCCCTCGCTCTGGCTTCCTCACGCTGCCGCTGCAGATCTTCGAGCTGGGTGAGGAGAGGGGATGCCAAAACCCAATCCTGCTGGCCCCCTTGTCCCCTGAGACCTCCTGAGTGCTGGGTCGGGCAGTGGGGTGGGCTGGAGCTCCCTCACCTCCCTGGAGAGGAGGAGTGGAGGGATGTGCTGAGGGCTGTCTGGCTGCACTAGTGGACAGCATTGCCTCCTCCTTGTGTTAATTGATAGGGAGGAGCGTGTAGGACATCCACAGCAAAGGACCTGATGTTTTTCATCCCCCCTCTCTTGTTTCCTCTCCCCAGTCCACTTCTTCACGTACGACCGTGAGTTCATCACCCAGTACTGCCAGGTGTCTGCCCTCCTGGAGCTGGAGTCGCTCCTCTCCCAGCAGAGCCTCAGGGAGGCTTTCTCTGACGCTGAGCTTTCCACCGCCAAGCAGAGGCACCAACAGGTTCAGGACTACATCCAGGTATGGGGTGGGAGCCATGGGACCTGCCAGGACAGTCATGCAGGAGCACCTGAGCAGGGGCTGTTCCCTGGCCTTGGTGGCTTTGGCCCCGTGGGGTTTCTCTGATGTGGCTGATGGGCAACAGCAGACTGGGCTTTCATAGAATCACAGAATGGTTTGGGTTAGAAGGGACATTAAAGCTCACCTTGTTCCACCCCCTGCTATGGGCAGGGACACTTTCCACTAGCCCAGGTTACTCCAAGCCTTGTCCAACCTGGCCTTGAACACTTCCAGGCTTGGGGCAGCCACAGCTTCTCTGGGCAACCTGTGCCAGGACCTCACCACCCTCACAGGGAAGGATTTCTTCCCAATATCCCATGTAACCCTGCCCTCTGGCAGTGGGAAGTCATTCCTCCTTGAACTGTCACTCCAGGCCCTTGTCCAAAGTCCCTATCCAGCTCTTTTGGAGCCCCTTTAGGCACTGGAAGGGGCTCTAGGGTCTTCTCCAGGCTGCAGTTACTTTAGCAAATTCTTACTGCAGTGATCACATTAAAAATCCTGAGGAAAGAGCCAAAGGCTTCTGCTCTGCATGTCCCCTCCTTGCTAGAAAAGGGCCTGCAAGTGCATTTTGAGATGGACTTGCAAAAAAGCATCCCACACTACCCCTGTCCCCAGCACCCTGCCTGCAGCAGACAGGTCCTGCTGAACCAGCAGCTGGAGCACCCTCCCACCTGAGAGTGCTTTCTTGAGATTCCCCCAGAGCTCTTGGGAGAGGTGTGTGGGCAGAGCCCGTGTTTTGCCGTGGGGCTTTTTTGCTGCTGTAATTTGCTGTTTGAACGGGATCCTCCGTTTCCTATTTTGGCAGCAAATGGAGGAGATCTGGCGGGAGATGCGCTGGATCATGGACGCCCTGCAGCACGCCCGCTACAAGCAGCCCTCCTGTGGGGTGTCTCTCAGCGGTTTCCTCAGCGAGGCTGGGGGGGCAATGAAGGAGAAAACCCGATCCTCCTCGTCCCACCTCGACTACCTTCCCTCCCCGGTGCCCTCGCCAGAGACCAGCCGCAAGCTCAACTCTGGTAGGGGCCCGGCTGTGCAAGCTCCTGCCTGGTGGGCTCAGGGGGCTGCCCGTGCTCAGGGGGTCAGAGGTGCTGCAGTGGCTGCACCCGAGGTACAGGCAGGGCTGGAGTCAGGAGTAGGGCAGGGCAGCCAGTCTCAGCTCTGCCTGTGCCATAGCGAGTGCAGCACGGGTGTATGACAAGGGGGTAAAACCTCGGGGGCTTCCTTGGATTCCACCTGGTGCAAACCCTCAGCTGGGGTTGTCCACACTAAGACTGAGCCATTCTTTGCTTCTCTCACCCCCTCACAGACTCTCACGGGCTGTCGGATGAGGAAGGCTCATCGGAGGTGTTCCTGGCCACCGACAGCGACTACGATTCCAGCCGGGCTCAGAGCCCGAAGGAGCTCGACCTGGTGTACTCACCCTCAGGGCCCGAGTGCTGCAGCCGGAGAGCCATCCGCACTCTGCGGGACAGCGCCCCGGATGTCCTGCAGACCCACGAGCTCAAGACCCCACCACCACCACCACCGCCACCGCCCGAGGAGCACCGGCCACCCCCTGAGCTCTACGACAGCGACTTCGTCCTGCCCAGCCGGCAGATTGAGCTGCTGCGTATCACAGAGAAGAGACAGGCATACTGTGTCCGGACCAGCAGCCTGGACTTCCCCAAACCCCACTGCCAGGCCCCCAGAAAGTCCTGCCCTGGCTCTGTCAACAGCTCCCCGACAGAGAGCAGGACCACAGGCCACTGTGACCAGCTCAGGCTGGGGACTGGCTCCACGCCCAGCCCTGAGCGCCGCCGGGGCGGGCAGGGCTCTGAGCCTGTCTGCCGGACGCGCTCGGATGAGTGGACTCAGAACTTTCCAGAACAGCAGCCAGAGCAGCCAGGGTGCTTGGCCGACCAAGGGAAGAAGCCGGGCTCTGTCACCTTGCGGGTCTGCCCTCAGTATGAAACAGGACTCTCCAAAGAGACCAGTGTCAAGGTACCGGAGCCTGCAGTGGGCAGTGGTGCGGCTCTGCCACGCCCGGAGGGACGGGGCTGGCAGGATGGGGACACAGGTGCATGCCCACCCCGGCACAGCCCTCCCCATCCTCCAAGGGGTGAGGTCTCCTGGAGACCCACAGCACTCCTGCCCTGAATCCCTGCTGTAGTGCTGAGGCTCCTGGCAGGACTAGGTATATGGCTCTGCAGGAGAGACAGCCACTGCTGTGGAAGGAGTGATCCAGGGCCACCTGTAGGGAATTTAGGGTACAGGGCGGTGAAGCTGCATTTCAGCTCTTGGTCTGTGGTTCAGCTGCTGACAGTAGGTTGGCGTCACCCAGTGTGGGCAGGCAGTGACCAAAGGACACATTGGTGGGTTTCCCTCGGCATGTCCTGGTGTTCAAACACATGATCCTCCCCGGCTGAAATTCAGCTGTCACCCCTCTGCCCTGCCCATATCCCTCCCACAACCTCCCCTCCCTGGGACTCTGCTCCCAGCTCTAGCCTTCCCCTGGAGAGCAGAAGCCACTCGTCTCCAGCCCGTGGCAACTCCAGTGGCAGGACCCACTCCAGTCCCAGCTGGGGGAGCAGGCAGAGTTGCCTCTGTGCTGCAGGCACTGGGCTCTGCTGGTGCAGCTGTGACATGAGTCCTCTCCACAAGAGCTTTGCTGCCAAGAGCTGACCCCCCAGCTCTGATCACTCACAGCTGCTCCAGGTGGGATCCCCCATGGAGGACAATCCCCAGGACAAACATCCTAGACAGGCCTCCCTCTGGATCTGCAGCCTCCTTTGGTCCCAGTCATGGAGATCCTTCCCCTGCTGAAATTTCCCTTCTGAGACATTTCTGGTGCCCAGGACTGAGGATGATGGAGCAGAAAATCCTTAAATCATGGAGTACTTTGTGTTGAAACAGACCCTAAAGAAAGGGCAGAGGAAGGACAGAGCCAACGAGCTGATGGGTTTGTTGCTGGGGAGGTTTGATAGCCGGTATCTCTGCATCCAGCAGAGACATCCTAGCAGAGAGGGCTCTGCCTTGCGGTACTCTTTTCCACTTGAGGAATGCCCATAGATTTCTATGGAATTGAAGTGCAGCCCTCGGGTTCCTGGCGGGCTGCCCACGTGGCTTTTGAAGTTGCAAAGCTCTGGACACGCCTGCTTGAAAGCGTTTTATGATGCTCCGCTCAAAGAAAGTCGAGTTCAAAGGCACAGCTCCTCGGCTGGCATAAATCAGCTGAGCCTTGCCATGGCTGTGCAGAGCTGGCAGGGCTCACGTGGGCCGAGGGCTCGGACCACCCTGCCGGGGCACTGCGAGCTCCTACGGATGTGCCAAAGGAAACCGTCGCCGTGCCCGGGCGAGGACGGATGTCCTGCCTTCAGGCTTTGGAAGTCAAGTAGTGGCTCCCAGAGTTGGTAGCAGCCAACTGAGCTCATTCTCTCGACAGTATTTGGGATTCAGAGGGCTGTCCCCAGGGTAGTGGAGGGGGGGAAGGGTGGCTGTTGGTGAGAGAACGCCATAGTAAAGATGACTGCTGCTTGTGAATGGGATGAAATTTAGTGCCATGTTCCAAAGAGGCTTCAGCTGTAGTTTGGCCAAGCTGTTGTGGTCCAGCTGGTCTGATAGTCTGGACCCTACGCACAAGAGGGACTTCACACAGGTCCCTCCATGGTGTCAGGAGCAAGGCTGGGACTGTCCCTCTCTAGCTACAGCTGGTGGTGGGGCAGCCTGAGCAGAGCTGTAGGTGGCACATGCAAGACTTGAGCAGTAAGGACTCAGAGACAGCAGTCCATGGGTTTGGGCCCTGACACCACCAGGCACCACTGGGGTGGCTGTTCCTCCGCCCTCACTGTTCCTCCACACCGTGTGCTGCCGCTGGCCCCTGCTTCCTCCTCATTCCACCCCCTTACCATCCGTCTCTCCCACCTTTCTCTCTCTGCAGCTGCACATCACCAGCCAGACATCCGCCGGGGAGGTGGTGAAGTTGGTGGTGCTGGAGATGAATGACATCTCCCGGGGCGTGCTGGGCAGCTCGGCCGCCGTCTGCTACGGCGAGGAGCAGCTGGAGCACTTCGGACTGGTGTTCGCCTCCGACGAGAGCGAGCGGTGGCTTCCCGATGACTTCTTGCCTCTGTCCCTCCAAACCAGCCGGCCCGAGGGGCAGTTCTACGTCCGGATCAAGGAGACCTCCCCTCTGGTGCTCCAGTACGGGCCGGCGACCACCGTATGAGAGGAGGAGAGCCGACGGGGCAGCGCGGGAACCTCAGCTTCCAGAGCAGACAGCTCGTCTCTGATGCTTCCTTCTTCCACAGACACCCTCTCATCAGGCGTCCGCAGGGTGGAATGGGATCATACTGGGCTGTGTGTTATTTGTTTGTGTTATTTTTTTAATTTTTTTTTTTTTTTAACCAAAGAGGCATCGAGACTCAGTTTTTCTGACAGGGGAAGAGGAGGGTGGAGTGCAGAGACCTCAGAACTCGGGAGGAATCTCTGCAGGAATGGAATTTTTGAAAGTAAACATTTTTAAGGAGGAAGAGGGGGGAGAAAGAGAGGAAAAATATTACAAGAAGAAGAAGCAATACCTTTTTTATGCCCTTTCTTCTTTTTCTGAAAAACCTTGTTTGGGATTCACTGAAGGCAAAACCACAAAGGATTGCTGGGGAGGGCTGGAGTGTCAGTAAGGAGAGGGCACGAGCCACAAGGCCAGCCCTGGGAAGGGTATTTTCCTATCTGCCCTCCTTTCATTGCACCTGGAGAAATGATTCTCACACATAGTTCTTGGAACAAAATTATATTATTATTTTTATTCTGGAAAAGTCAATAATCATTGTGCCAGAGCCACTGGAATTGGGGAAGAGGTAAAGACCCTTTGACTTGTTTCCAAGGACCCCACGCTCATGCAGACGTGTCAATACCACTAGAGGTTTGCTTTAGGGCATCTCCTGCAACCCCCTGGGCTTCCCTGTCCTCCTGGGTGCTGTTTTGTTCTGGTGATTGTGCTTGGCCTCTCTTGTACGTCCTACAGCATGACATTTTGTTAGCCACTAGGTCTCCTTTTACCAAGGTTATTTTTCTGATCTCCTGTGGTCCATAGTAAAAATGACTGCTGCTGACTGCATATCCCTTGTCCTTCTTGCTGCTTGATGCGTAGCATTCCGTGATCTGCCAAACCAGCCCCAATTCCAAGGGCTGGGCTCATCTTTCCCAGGAACTTTCCACGCTGCGGAGCATTACATTACCATGCAAATCGTGTGTGGGGGAGAAAAGAGCAAGTTAAAGTTGTTTTTCCAGGCTCCATTGCTCTGGAAGGCAGTAGAATAAGCTTGGGCATGCCAAGGCATCACCTCCACGTGATGGTGGAAGCCCAGGGTTGTAGGACCCAAGCATCTGCAGTTCAATGCATTGATCTGGTCCCACAGCCTCCAGCAAGGGAAGAAGCCCAGGAGAGGAGTGGGAAGGCAGGAGAGCTCCCAGGTCTATCCCAACTGGCACAGGCACTGCGAGCAAGGTGTGAGTCGGGTGGTCCTTGGCAAGGTGAGGCTCCTGATGCTGATGGCCCTTCAGCAGCCACCTCGCTGCCCTTCTCTTGGCATAGAGGGGTTAGGGCTGGACAGCAGACCCCCATCCCTGGGTGCTGGGGCGAAGGAGGGGCTCTGTGGGCAGCCACATGGCACTGCTGCCGCTCCTCAGAGGGTTGTGGCTCTCGCCTTGCAGCACACACTGTGTGGCATGGGCAGGGATATATCCCAGCACAAGCCCTTCCCTGCCCCACGTCAGAGCCACTCTGGAGGGGAGGATCGTGTGCCAGCCCCTCAGCTGGTGCAAATCAACGGCACCACATTGACGTCAGCGCAGGCACCACCATGGGACGTGGAGGCGAGCGACAAAGGAACGCTTTAAAAGGCACTTCTCCCATCTCCTCTCTCCTTTGCTTGTCTTCTGCCTCGAGTTAAAACCAATCCCACTCTCCCGGGTCAAGGCAGAAGTGGGTTGGTGAGTGTATAGGTTCCCATGGAGTTTGTCCTTGTTGGGCATCCACGGGCATTGACATCCCAAAGAGGCGGGAGCTGCAGGGTGGCCCTTCCCTTCACATGTGTCACCTACTGATGCTCAGAGCCTGGGGCAGGGGAGAGGGAAGGCACGACTGGTGGAAAACTAAATGGCTTTCTGGAAGTCACGGAATGAATAGAGCATTAGATCAGGGCTACATACAGAGAGCTACATCTGGGTTCCTGATGCTCCTCAGCATGGAGCCGTGCAACTCCTGCTGCCCTTTTATTTGACCCCAAAGGGGAAAAAGGCCTCCCTTTTCCTTATGAATTTGTTCTCCCTTCCTAGAAGCCCTGCTCCATCGAGAGAGATGGAGCCATGACCCAAAGCCAGATGCTGGCTCTTTGGCCAGGGTGGACATGGACCAGCTGGACCCTGCTGGGAGCTGGTTGCCCACACTTCTCTGTGGGGAGCTCTGCCTGTGGAAGGATCTCACTGGCTGTGAAGGCTTTTCTGCAGGATTTTCTCTGGCCACACAGCAACATGTATTACTTGGCTGCAAGGAACAGTACATGGGTTTATGGGACCTCTTCCCCTTGCCTGGAAGAGGAAGAGGGAAAGAGCAGGGGCCTGGGTAGGAGCAGAGTTGGATGCAGTCAGAGTAGGAAGGGTAGGAGTTGCATATCAGTTGCATAGGAAGCCCCCCAACCAGGGGTACCAGGACGTGTGATGCCCTGATGCAACACACTCCTCACAGAATCACTGAATAATTAGGGACCTCTGGAGATCATCCGGTCAATCATAAACTCCCTGCTCATGCAGGGTCACCTGGAGCAAGTGACACAGGAACATGTCCAGGTGGGTTTAGAAGGTCCCCAGAGAGGGAGACTCCAAGTCCTCCCTGGGCAGCTGTTCCAGCTCTCTGCCATCTCCATGGAAAGAAGTTATTCCTCATGATGAGGTGGAACAGCTTGTGTTTTAGTTTATGTCCATTACTCCTTCTCCTGTCGCTGGGCACCACTGAAAAGAGTCTGGCACCATCCTCTGACACCCCTTGGAGGCATTTGTACAGATTGATGAGGCCTCCTCTCAGTCTTCACTTGCAAGGTGGTTGCTTCCTTTCACATTCTCATTCTCTCCTTAGGTGGTTTCATGGGTACATCCCAATGTTTTCTTCCTGAACAGGTTGCAAAGCCTTCAGATGCTCTCTTGACCTTCTCCGTGGCCAAGGAATGGGAATAGAAACCAGTAGGCTCTGTCTGTGGCAGCTTTTAAGGCTACAGTCTCAATGTTAAGGGCTGTGGGGAGCCAAGGTGGCTGTCCGAGGTGACATGGTGTGACAAGGCATGCTGTCAGGTGAGGAGCAGTCACCCCAGGCAGCACAAGGATTGAGAACATTAGCCGTGGTAGGTCTCCAGACAGTGGTGCAGGGGTTTGGTGAAGGAGCTTTCTCCATGGGGACCTGGCATGCACCCCATGGTACCAGTAATGGAGGAAAATTCCCAGAGCACCTTGACCTCAGCCCTGCTCTCTCCCCACCTGGGGAAGCAGTGGAGGTGGATATGGAAGAGACATCATTTGGTTTGTAGCGTCCCTTTTCTCCAGTATTTTAATTGGCAAGGCAGGTGAGAATGCAGGGGGTTGGGGACGCTGCTCCTGCACAGACCTGTGTCACCCAGACAGATATAACTGTCCCTGTGGTGTCCATGTCCCCAGTCACACAGCCTGTCCCAGGCACAGAGGCACCTGTACCTGTACCTGCACCCACCTGAGCCCAGGTGGGCACCTTTAGTGCTCACTAACCCCTCTGCACTGGTATCACAGAATCATGGAACCATTTAGGTCAGAAAAGTGCTCTAAGATCATTGAATCCAGCTGCTCCCCCAGCACTGCCCAGGCCACCACTGACCCACGTCCCCACGTGCCACATCCACACAGCGTTTAAATCCCTCCAGGGATGGGGACTCCACCACTGCCCTGGGCAGCTGTGCCTGGGCTGGAGAGCACTTTCCATGAAGAAATTTACCCAATATCCATCTAAACCTCCCCTGGCACAGCTTGAGGACATTTCCACTTCTGTCCCTTGTTCCCTGGGAGCAGAGCCCAAGCCCCATCTGGCTCCCCCCTCCTGTCAGGGAGTTGCAGAGCCAGAAGGACCCCCCAAGCCTCCTTTTCTCCAGGCTGAGCCCCCCCAGCTCCCTCAGCCGCTCCTGGTGCTCCAGCCCCTTCCCAGCTCCGTTCCCTTCCCTGGACACGCTCCAGCCCTTCAATGTCTTTCCTGTTGTGAGGGGCCCAGAACTGCCCCCAGGGCTGCAGGTGCCTCAGCAGTGCCAGCACAGGGATGGGCACTGCCCCGGTCCTGCTGCCATCCCAACACCCTGCCCATACACACCACCCCTCCCTGGATTTGGTTCCAGCCTTCCACAGACAATCCCACAAGCTGGAGATGTGCATCCCTAAAAATCTGCCCTGAGCAGGGGTCAGTCTGAGCAGTGCCACGTGGGAGGTGGGGCAAAGGGTCTGAGGGCAGCAGTGGGCACAACATGGGAAGGCATTTCCCACCTTCCCTTGGAGGCAGGGACCATTCTCCTCAGCTGGGATGTGTGGGCTCCTCTTCCAGGTGCTGTGGAGCACCAAAAGATGACGCTGCAGAACAATTTGTATTTTGTGAGGGCTTTTTTCTTGTCTCTCTGTCAAGGTCACTTGCATCACTAACAGCATTCGAATGCAGATCGGTGTATTAGTTTTTGCTTCTGGGCACAGTGAAAGCAAAATACCAGCTTGTGCAGGGGAACAAACAAGTCTTCTCCTCCTTCCACTTGGAGATAGACCCAGGTCCAGAAGCACAGCAGGAGAAAAGTGGAGTACATTAACCATGGAGGTTAATGGGAATGTTTTCATTTCCATCACCAGAGGAGCCCTGCCTGAGTGGTGTTTTGCTCACATTGTGCATATTCATAGAAATAAACACAATTTGTGACACTGAAATTCCTGCCCAAAATCAGGAGCTTGTTGGCATCGGTTCTAAAGCATCTGATCTGCTTTTATCCCATCCGAAGGGAGTTGCTCAGTTTATCAGACATGAATCCAGCTTTATGTTTCCCAAGGTTTTCTCTCTGAGTCTCAGACACTGGGATGTTTTGGGGTTTGGGGTGTTTTGTTTTGTTTGTTTGATTAGGTGGGGCTTTTTGTTGTTTTTTTTTGTTGTTGTTGTTTGGAGGTTTGGGGTTTTTTCCCTTTTTTTTGCCTTTTTCTTTCTTCCTCCCCTGTCCCTTCTTCTTTGTTCTTTTTTTGCCTGGGACCCTTCTTCTTTCCTCAGCTCTGGTTATAGGAAAGTTGAAGAGCTGCTGCAGTGGCCACAGAGGCAGGGTGCTCTGAGCCTGCCCCAGTGAAGGCAGCGGAAGCCTTTCTACCCTCAAACAGCGGGCAAGAACACAAGCAAGAGCCACCCCAGCCGTCCAAAACACAGTGGAAGTTCCAGGGCCACTCTGGCACATGCAATTACCAAGTTAATCCGTGCTCTACCATCTGTAGGAACTCTGTACCACGCCTGTGCAGTGACACAGTCTGTTTACCCACGTGGCCTATAAATAGCACTGCCGTGGAACTGAAATGTGCTGTGATCACATTTATGGCGGGTGGAATCAAGGGGTTGCAGGTTGCCCACACTTTCCATGGCCAGCCAAGATGCCCACGGAGGATGCGGTTTTGCTGAGCAAAACACCACTGGCCCAAGGCTTGTGTCAAGGAGCCTTTGCTCAGGCAGCCCAGGCTCCCTGAGAACACACACACTGGTCTGCTCTGTCCACTGTGGGCAAAGCCACTTCCCATGTGGAACCGGGCTGGACAACACAGAGTTTAGACCAAGACTGCAATTTCCCAACCACGAAGACACTTGGGCTGGAGGAGATGAGAGTCCAGGTGACATTAGCACCATCAGAAAGCTCCGGCTGGCTTTGGTGTGTCTAGGATTTTTTGGCTTGAGGTTCTCCAAACCCACGTATAGAGCAAGCAGAAAACAACTGTTTCCATCCCAAGAAAATTCCTGGGACACAGGGAAGTCTTCTGTTCCCAAAGCAGCCTGCAAAATAAAATATTGTGAAAACAGGAACTGAAAATATGAAGATA